TTTTTTGCGACACTTGAAACTAGTTTCATTGCATTTCCGTCGTATTTCTCGTCGATTTTTCGCCTTTGATCTCGAAGATCGTCCGAAGATCGAGCGAGGCTCGACTGAATCGTGGCTTCCCCTTCGTTGATTCGCCTTTATCGATTTGCCAGGAAAATCGCGAAACGATCGAGGACTGAAAACATCGACGGCGGAGTGTTTGATAATGAACCGAACCGTGGCTGGTTTCTCGTTTGAAAACCAAGTTTTCTTCCTCGCAGACTGTGCACCCGCCGCCAGGAGAGGGAATCGACGTGAGCCACGCTCTTATTGCGCGCCATTCCCTTCGCTTTAGCAATTTCCTGTGAATTTTTATTTGAAGCCCGTCGAATCCGTATCGGGACGTGAGCGGCATTCGTCCCGCTACCGCGACACCGGTTAATGTATTTCCAATGAAGCTCGACGCGATTTTCACGGGCCAATAGGCTGCCAACGATCAAGAAATATAATTAAGAAAAACGGAACGGGTTTTTTTTCTTTCTTTCTTTTCCTGCCCCGGGGGGCGAAACACAGAAAGCGCAGTCCGATTCGTTTCCTTTCCTCTCGTTTCCTCGTCGAAGTTTCATCAAGTTCTATATCGCGTTAATAAACCACGTTCGCTCCTCTCCACCTCTCGTACTCTTCCCTCGTTTCTTAATATTAAATCACCACGCCGGGATTTCGAATCGGGAAGTCCTTTTGTTAACGTTTTCCCTCGCTCCGACAAATATTCAACAAACCTCTATCCCCCTCCCCATTCGTCCCACCGTCACCATCGTCGCGTAAAATTCATTTTCACGCACAAAGTGATACAATGGCATAATCTAAAATGAAAAATTCCAGGCGTTAACCGGGTGCCGTTATTTTTCAAACGTCGGGACTTTTCCCGCGACGCTCTCTCCCTCTCTTTCTCTCGCGCCTTCTCTCTTTCCTCTTCCGTTCCGTACAGTTTTGTATCGCATCACGGAATTGTAACCTCGCAATTGGAACTGGTACACCACCCGACGATGACGACGACGACGACGACGACGCAATAATTCCAACCGCGCGTCCTTAATACCATCAACGTGTAACCGAGGGACGAGAACCGAACACGTGACACGACGATGGTGGTGGTCGTCGTAGGTCAGTAAAATCGTTATTCCACGGCAGCGGCGGCAGCGTTGAAACGCGCGTGTTCCTCCGTTCTTCCCTCTCGTCGGCTTCGGCCGGAGGAAATATTACGCTCGTCTGTTCTACGTTGCCTCCGCTGAAAGTGGCGACGTTGCGTCACGCATACGATACGAGCCGGTTATTTCACGGAGCGCGCCACGGTGGTTACGGGGGTTTCTTTCCCGGTGTCGCGTTTACACGGGGCGACGAGATGTTGAACGAGAGAAAGGAGGCGGTGGAACGACACGATGGGAAAAGGGGCGCTGCTAGAGAAACGTCGTACGACGACGAATTGAGGGTGACTTCTTTG